CTTGGCACACACATGATGTCTCTGCGTCCGTCTACTGCTCCTCTGCATGCCCCTTTGCCTTCTCCTCCTGCTTCCTCCCCTTTGCCTACCCGGAGTCGGACTCTCTTCGTGCTGCCAGTCCTACTGTCACGCGTCTCCTTGCTACTGTCGTCACTGACCCTTCTTTTGATTCCACTGCTGCGTCTGCCCTAGTTGCTGAGCTCGTCGACTTTGCTGCTCGCTGCCGCCTAGACTACGCTGCTAGTCTTGTCGCAGAGTCTGAGTCTGTCTGTCCTCCGTCCGTCGGGGGTGAGTGTGCCCTTGGCACGGATGTCCTTGAGGACACGCAGGAGGAGTTCCAGTGTCTGGCAGCTGCTTCACCTCATCTCGTGTCCGTACTGCTTACCCCTCAGGGAGACCCGGATGCACTTGACATCCCGACTCCGCGCTCTTACGCGGAGGCGATAGAGGGTCCCTACTCCTCTCAGTGGCAGTCAGCTATGGATGCAGAGATGGCTTCCTGGAAGTCCACAGGCACCTACGTTGATGCTGTCCCCCTTCCTGGGGCGAACATCGTCAGTGGCATGTGGATCTTCAGGGTGAAGCGGCCGCCGGGTTCTCCGCCTGTCTTCAAGGCGCGTTACGTGGCTCGTGGCTTCAGTCAGCGGCAGGGAGTTGACTACTTTCAGACCTTCTCCCCCACCCCGAAGATGACTACTCTTCGGGTACTGCTGCACGTTGCTGCTCACCGTGACTACGAGCTGCACTCTCTCGACTTCAGCACTGCTTTCTTGCAGGGCAGCCTGCAAGAGGAGATCTGGCTGCACCGCCCACCTGGCTTCACTGGGTCTTTCCCTCCTGGTACCCAGTGGAGTCTCCGGCGTCCAGTCTACGGTCTCCGCCAGGCGCCACGTGAGTGGCACGACACACTGAGGACTACACTTGCTGCTCTTGGGTTTGCTCCTTCTACTGCCGACCCGTCACTGTTTCTACGCACCGACACCTCTCTGCCGCCGTTCTACATCCTCGTGTACGTCGACGACTTGGTCTTTGCCAGAGCTGACACTGCTGGACTCGCCCACGTGAAGTCCGAGCTGCAGAAGAGACACACGTGCACAGACCTGGGTGAACTGCGCAGCTACCTTGGCTTGCAGATCACCCGGGACTGAGCACGCCGCACCATTACCCTGACTCAGTCACACATGGTGCAGCAGGTCCTTCTGCGCTTCGGCTTCACGTACTCCTCGCCTCAGGCCACTCCTCGGCCTACTCGCCACTCACTCTCAGCTCTGCCTTCGGATCAGTCCGTAGATTCAAGTGGCCCATATCCAGAGCTTATTGGCTGCCTCATGTACCTGATGACCTGCACACGACCTGACCTTGCATACCCTCTTAGCATTCTTGCACGCTATGTTGCTCCTGGGAGACACCGACCAGAGCACATGGCTGCAGCGAAGAGGGTGTTGCGCTACTTGTGCAGTACGTCGGGCATGGGGCTAGTGCTTGGAGGGCGCAGTCCAGTGGTCCTCACTGGGCACGCGGACGCTTCTTGGGCTGACGACCAGGCTACGCACCGGTCGTCACAGGGTTACACCTTCAGCCTTGGTTCCGGCTCTGTTTCGTGGCGGGCTACTTGCTCGTCTTCTATTCTCGGCTCCAGTTGTGAGGCTGAGATCTACGCTGGGGCCATGGCTGCCCAGGAGCTTCGCTGGCTCACCTACCTGCTAACCAACCTTGGAGAGCCGCCTCGTTCTCCTCCAGTCCTGTACGTAGACAACAAGGCCATGCTGGCCTTGTGTCGAGAGCAGAGACTGGAGCACAGAACAAAGCACATTGCTCTTCGCTACTTCCTTGCTCGTGAGCTACAGCAGCGTGGTCAGTTGCGGCTTGAGTACGTGGCCTCTGAGGCCAACACTGCTGATGTTTTCACCAAGGCACTTCCGCCTTGTGATCATCAGCGCTTCGGCACTCAGCTGGGTCTTGTCCCTGTCTTGCCTCACTTGCTCAACCCTTGACCTTGCTTGTACTGTTACATATATATATACATGTTCTTGCTTCTCTAGCCTTATATATATATATGTATATATATATATGCACTCCTGCATGTGAACTGGCCTTGTGGCCTTGAACTTGTGCTCAGAATGTGTGGTGACGTTGTGATCCACCCTGAGCTTGCTTTGCTTTGCTTTGCTTGACTGGTCTTGTGACCCCTTGTTCTCCCCCACTTTGCCTATGGGGGTGTGTCAGAACATTATAGCTTATACTTTTGTGTAGGCTGTAGTGGGGTATCCCATAGGGGGTATAACCCAATTAGGGTTAGTACTTGTACCCACTTCATTCATAGTTCATTCATTCTCATTTCTTCTCATCAAGAGCCAAGCTTTGAGGTTTGTCATCCAGTGCATGGCGCTTTCGGACTTGCCATTGAAATGCCGTCCCATTCTTTGTGAATGAAAATGTGTTATCTTGGAAATTTAATATCACCTCATTAGGCCGCAGCCAATCCATTCCCAAGACAATGTCTACGCCTGCTAGGAGGGGTAAGACAAAAACGCTGATGGTCTCCTGATATCTTTGGATATCTAGGTTGACCAAAGCATGTCCTCTGCATTGGGATGACCCTGTCATCCCCCAGGCGAATAGAGCAAGATGGTCCTTGAACAGGCACATTCAAATACCCCATCCATTTCTCATCGATTAATGACGCAGTCGCTCCTGTATCAACCAGGATCGAGGCACTGCGCCCGTTTACACGACCAGAAAACAAAAGATTTTGCTGATATTTAGGTCGAACAGGACATGCCGTGATGTCAGTGGGAGGCAAATAATATGCCTTAATGCCGTACTTGCTACGTCCAAAAGAACGAGCTTGTGTCCACCACATGTGGTGTCCTTTATCCCACTGCGCTAACACACTACATCCTTGAAGCGCACGAAATAATTTACCTCGAATTGTGTGCGTTACCATTCCAACCGCAGTTAGAGGGTGCGCTTGGGTGCAACGACCCACCACATCCATTATCCAAGGCAAATTATGGTGATCACAAAATATAAGTGAGAATTCATCTCGTAATGATTCCACTGTGATATTTTCCAGTGGGTGAAATCGAGAGGCAAACAAAGAGCTTTCATTAAAAGAAAATGCATACACACATGCAATTTTGCAATCAACAAGGCACTCGAGTTTCAATAACTCCTCATCCCGCAGGACCACTGCCTCATCCTCTCGATCTACTACGCCCCCTACGTACCCACCCCCTAGTTGGGCTTTGCAAAATCCCGCTGGGTGCCCGAGGGGCCACTGCCGTCATTGCGCCTGTTGTCCGTCTTAGCCTTGCCAGGGTACTTCACCGACTTGCGGTGGCGGCACTCGTAGCCCTTGTGTCCAGGCTTGCCGCACTTGAAGCAGCTCTGGACATTGCTTGGTCCACCCTCGTTAACCTTCTTGGCCTTGTGGTCAGCCTGCTGCCCCTGCTGGAAGGGCCTCTTGTGGTTCCCGCCCTTCCAAGGCGTTCCCTGCTGCCTTCCACTCGGACCCCTAGTGTTAGAAGACGGCCTTGAGGCCTGCTGCGGCTGGGTAGTGGTTTTGGCATAAGCGCGGAAGTGCTTTTCAGTGGTCCCCACCACACGCGTCACGTGATCATAGGACCTCCATGCCTCCCCAGCCCCATCTGTCATATGCATGTTCTTGAGGTGCTCAGGCAGCCCCCTGAAGAACAGATGGATCTTTTCGCCTTCGCTCATGCGTTCCGCCAGTTTTTGGAGCACCCAGATCTCCTCAAACTCCACGGCGTACTGCTGCACTGTGCGGCTCCCGCAGTGCAGCTTCTCAAGGCGGCTGCGCACCTCCAGCTGAGTCGGCTGGACCTGGAAAGCTTGCTTGAGTGCAGATGCAAATTCCTCCCACCCAAACGGCTTCCTATCTGCCTCAGCCTGGATCTTGCTGCCATACACCACTCGCTGTGCATTCTGGTCCAGCACGGTGGTGGCAGCGACGACGCGAGCGTCGTCTTGGACCTTGTGCGCCTTGAACAGGTCGGTCATCATCGACAACCACGCAGCCACGTCTGTCTTGCCATGGATGAATGGCGGCAGTGTGATTGGTAGAAAGCCAAAAGCCTGCGTGCTCGGCTCAGCAGCGCGCTGCGTAGAAGGACCAGGGTCACCCACTGCACCACCAGAGCGAGAAGGGTTGGTGCGACCGCTAGCAGAGTTGGCAGGCGGGTCCGTTCGTGGTGCAGGGCGATACATGGTCTCCCTTCGTAGGGCACTGAAGGCCTCGCGCAGCTCGTTGATTTTTGAGGTCTGCCTCGCCAGCTGATGAACGTGCTCGCGCGCATCATGCTTCATGTTTTTAAGCTCAACTTCCAGGTACTTGATTTTTTCGTCCTGGTCAGAGAGCTCCCTCGTGAGGTTGGTGATGAGTGTCTGCTGCTGCTGGATGCGCGTATCCTGCTCAACAGCATGATCCTGCAGCTTAGCAATTTCAGCATGCAGAATGTCCTCCTCCCCTTCCAACTCAATGTCATCCTCCTGAGACTCCCCTTCCTGCTCCTTGGAATTTTCAGCAGCTGGAGGGTCCCTTGCAGGGGAGTCAACAGCAGGTTCCTTCTCAGCCATTTCCTCATCCATGTTGTTCAGGTCAATTTTCTGCACACAAGCTTCCAGTTCAGCATTGGAGTTGTTGCCTTCAACACCACCAGCATTGGAGTTGGTAGACGCCATTGAGAGCAAAGTCACTGTATTATAAAAAGAGAGTTACATATCTATTGCAAATTGTTATCACCGCAGTGAATAACCGAGATTTTCTCCAAAGGAGAAATTTCTTCAAAAGATCTTACAACCACAACAATGTGAAAAACAACTCTGTTGCAAAATATCCTTACCACCGCAGTGGATAAAGCAAGAACAATCACTTTGCTCTGACACGCGCTCCCTCACGTGCTCTCTCACGTACTTTCTCACGCACTCTCTCACGCGCTCTCTCAAGCGCTCTCTCACGGGCTCTCACGCACTCCCTCATGTGCTCTCTCTCGCGCACTCTCTTGCGCATTCCCTCTGTCACACGCTCTTTCTTGCGCACTCCCACGCGCTCTCTTACGCGCACTCCCACGCGCTCTCTTACGCGCTCTCTGACGCACTCCCTCACGCGCTCTCTCACGCGCTCTCTCATGCGCTCTCTCACGCGCTCTCTCACGCGCACTCTCACGGGCACTCGCTCTCTCACGCGCTCCCTCACGCGCTCTCTCATGCGCTCTCTCACGCACTCTCTAACGCACTCTCTCACGCGCTCTCTGACACGTGCTCTCTCACGCGCTCTCTCACGCGCTCTCTCTCGCGCTCTCTCATGCGCACTCTCACGCGCACTCGCTCTCTCACGCGCTCCCTCACGCGCTCTCTCACACACTCTCTCATGCGCTCTCTCACGCGCACTTTCACATGCACTCCCACCCTCTCTCACACGCTCCCTCACGCGCTCTCTCACGCACTCTCACGCGCTCTCTCGCGTGCTCCCTCACGCACTCTTATGCGCTCTCGCATGCGCACTCTCACGCGCTCTCTCACATGCTCTCTCACGCAATCTCTCATGCGCTCTCTCACGGGCTCTCACGCATTCCGACGCACTCCCTCTCGCGCACTCTCTTGCGCATTCTCTCTCTCACGCGCTCTCTCATGCACACTCTCTCGCACACTCTCATGCGCTCTCTCACGCACACCCTCATGCGCACTCTCAGGCACACTCTTACGCACTACCTCTTGCGCTCACTCTCTCGCACTCTCACACGCATTGTCTCTCTCACGCGCTCTCTCACGCACTCTCTCATGCGCACCGTCACACGCTCTCTCACGCGTTCTCTCACGCGCTCTCTCACGCGCTCTCTCACGCGCTCTCTCACGCGCTCTCTCTCTCTCGCACTCTCACGCAATCTCTCACGTGCTCTCTCTCATGCACTCACTCACGCACTCACTCACACGCCCTCTCATGAGCTCTCAAACGCTCTCTCACGCACTCTCCCACTCGCTCTCACATTCGCACTCTCACGCGCTCTCTCATGTGCTCTCTCTCACGCACTCACTCACGTGCCCTCTCATGCGCTCTCTGACACACACTCTCACGCACTCTCTCACGCGCACTCTCACACGCAGTCTCACGCACACTCTCATGCACTCTCTCATGCGCTCTCTCTCACGCACTCACTCACGCGCTCTCTCACGCGCTCTCTCACGCGCACCCTCATGCCCACTCTCAAGCACACTCTCTCGCGCTCTCTCTCTCGCACTCTCACGCGCATTCTCTCTCTCACGCGCTCTCTGACGCGCTCTCTCATGCGCACCCTCACGCTCTCTCTCGCGTGCTCCGTCTCTCCCCTTCTTCAAATGAAAGTGCCATACAAGAGGAGACCAATTGACACACAAAATTTAGGAAGAGAGCAAAAAAAACAACAAGGAATTTTCAGAGGGGGTAGGGAGGATGAAATGACCGGGAACGCACCTGATAACCATGGTGCCTCAGAAAACAATCCTCGCTCGCGCACCAACCCGCGCTTAAGCACCAACCCGCGATTGCGCACCAATCTGCGCTTGCGCACCAATCCGCGCTTGCACCCCGGGCGCGACGGCGGGGAGGAGGGAGGGCGACGGCGGGGAGGAGGGAGAGGCAACGGCGGGGAGGAGGGAGGGCGACGGCGGGGAGGAGGGAGAGGCGACGGCGCGGAGGAGGGAGAGGCGACTGCGCAGAGGAGGGAGAGGCGACGCCGCGGAGGAGGGAGAGGCGACGGCGCGGAGGAGGGAGAGGCGACGGCGCGGAGGAGGGAGAGGCGACGGCGTGGAGGAGGGAGAGGCAACGGTGGGGAGGTAAGGGAGAGGAGATGGCGGGGTGGGACGGAGTGATTGTGAGGTGGGAGGAAGAGGCGATGGCGGAGTGGGAGGGATAGGTGATGGCGGAGAGTGAGGGAGAGGATACGGGGAATGGGAGGGAGAGCGACGGCTAGGTGGGAGGTAGCGACGGCAGGGTGTTAGGAGAAATGGCTAGAGAAGAAATTGGGGCGGGGAGGAAATGGAGTGAGCAAAGGTGCTTCTCGAGAGGAACCAAGAACAAGAACCAAGAAATGAAAAGCCTCGAATTCGAGTTTGACAGCTGTGAAAGGGACATATATCTTGGGCTTGGTTGGGCTTGGTTGGGGTCGTGGTGGAGTTGGCAAGAAATTTCTGCCAGCGCAGAAGGAGGCACCAAATCCTATATACAGTACATACAAAACTTGGCCACTTGCTGACACATCAGATACGGTACAGTAGTTGCAAACATAAAACCCGCTATAGTAGATACTTAGATAAGTACCATAACGTTTCTTACATAAGGGACACAACTATATGCAACCCTTCCGACTTAAACGCCGAGACTTGTTCTCTCTGTTGGTATCATACTTTCTAAAGGTGGAACACTTTAGAGTAAGTAAGAACATTTTACATGACGCCAGAGATCAAACCCTTATCGGGTGTGAACCACGTCCTGTGTGCCTGGCCGTTAATCCTCTTGCAGGGACATTCTTACTCAGCTGAAAGCGAGTATCACATCGATAGAGCGAGAGCAGATGCAGCAGGACCGGTGGTGGCAGACGAGGAAAGGGCCGTTGACAAAGAGAGGGAGGAGGGGGGGCTGCAAAGCATGGAGGATGGGGATCATGAGGAGGAAGGCATCAGTTACCATGCCAATGATGTGAGTCCAACCTCCTGGTTTCTGCAAGTGTTGCTTTCATAAAGTTATTGCGTTGCTAGATTTCATCTACCCAGATGCGTTCAAATTAATCTACCCAGATACACATTTTCCCTTGTAAGGAATGCAAGTCATGCAGGTCACTCTTGCTGACAATATCAGAACTCATCCGGTTCTTTACTTTTCGTTTTCCCTTCCCTTTCTTTCTCTCTTTCCTTCCCAATCTTCTTTGTCCGGGTCCTCATGCGGCGTCCTCTCGTGCCCATCACGCCGCTGCACCAACTGTCCGGCATGCTGCCGCCTCTTTAGGTAACCACCATCCCCAATGGATGGGGAGGAAGGGAGGTTGGCAGGGTCGGGAGTCGGGAGATGCGGGGGTAGGATGGCAGAGGGGTTTGAGGGAAGCTAGGCAGGGATGGGGGAGGGCATGCAGGCAGAGAGGGGAGAGGGGGTTGGGACGGATGGGGGTGGTTGGTAGAGAGAGAGGGGAAGAGGTTGACAGGGAGAGGGGAACGTTGGCAGCGAGGGAGTAAGAAGGTTGGTAGAGATTGGGGTGGGGAGGGGGGAGGGAAGGAGGAATGATGGACCTTTGCAGTGGTTCGGATGGGTAGGTTGGCAGAGGGGAGGGGACAAGGTGGGCAGAGAGGAGATCGTGGGTAGGGAGGGGGGGAATGCCAGCAAAGCGGTTGGGAGAAGACATATGATAACGGTTGTATGGTAGATTGCGTGAGTAAAGGTTGGCAGAGTGGGGGGGAGTTTCGCTGAGGGAGTGGGGGAGGTTGGGAGAGAGCAGGAGGTTGGGAGAGAGCAGGAGGTTGGCAGGAAGGAATTAGTAAGTTTGGCAGAGGAGGTGGGGAAGGTTGGGAGAGTAGATGGGGGGAGGTGGCAGAGGGAGAGGGGGTAGGTGGCAGAGAGAGGGGGGGAAGGGAAGTGGCAAAGAGAGCGGGGAAGGTGGCAGAGAGAGAGGAAAGAGCAGAGAGACAGTGGGGGAAAGGTTGGAAGGGGGAGGGAGGTCAGCTGTGAGGGGGGGGCTACAAGCTGGCAGGGAGAGGGGCGAGCAGGGCAGAGAGTGGGAGAGAAGGCTTGCAGGGAGGGAGGGACGGTAGAGGAGAGAGAAAGTGGGAGAGGCTGTGATGGATGGGATTTGGATGTCTGTGAAGTTTTTCACCATGGTGCCAGAGAAGCGGGTTATGCTGTTGCCGGCTTGTCCTCCCACGGCAGTCGCACTCTTGAATTTCCACTTAATACAAATTTGGAATGAGCTTTGCAAGTGCAATATTCTCGTGTGTTGTGTTTTCCTTTTTTGCCCCACACCTGTTGCCAAAAAAACCCCACAGTTCGTAACTCTCTATGTCCTGTGTTCTCATGCTCGATTTCCCGCTTGTGCGCATGCTTCCATGTTCCAACCCCGTGCTGCAGCCCATGTTTCTCACCTTTCCTCTCAACGTGTTGCATCTGCTGCTGCCACTCGCGTTACACCCGTAACTACGCCTCGCACCGCCACTCGAGCTGCTTCCCATGCTGCCACCCGATCCGCTTTGGTGCCTCACACTACTGGCATCACTGCCAACCGCATCACAATGAACACGGCCACCCGCACCACAGGCGTCAGCACTAACAGAACCATTAGAGCGTGCACCACTGCTGCCCAAATTACTGGCACAACTGCCGCCCGCATTACTGGCACAACTGCCGCCCGCATTACTGGCACAACTGCCGCCCGCATTACCGGCACAACTGCCGCCCACACCACTCGCTCCATTCCCCCTCGCGCCCGCACCAACAGCACCAGTGCCACCCGTGCAGCAGACACCATTGCCGCCCGCACCACCAGCAGGACTGCAGGCCGCACTTATAGCAGCACTTCATCGCGCGATAACAGCGGCACTGCCACTGGTACGACAGGCGCAGTGACTTGTTACGGAGTGACAGCTGCCTCTGGTGCCATCCGGTCCGGCTGGACCAGTCCGTTTTCTGCTGCGGATTCACGCGCCAATGCGTGTACCGCTGGAGGTAAGCCTTGGGCATGTGTGTCCGTGCGTGCAATTCTCCTCAATTCTGCTCTAGCTGTAACCCTTGGTGCCATGTCTCCGCTTCTCACCATGCCCACCAGGCCTTAACCATTCTCCCCTCCCAACCCATCTATCCATTCCTCCTTTGTGGCATTCCCTCCTCCCAGCTGAGAACACGCATGCTGAGTCCAGCTCCTCCACACACCAGGGGCAGTGACACCTATTGCACCCATTCTGATCTTATCTGATATGATTTGATCTGATCTGATCTGATTTCATCTGATCTGATCTGATCTGATGTCATGCATGGCAAGTCAAACCAAGCTGCCCCAGTGTCGCTTGCGACTGTGTGAGCTAATTGTTTCCATCACGTGCCGATGATATAGTCTATTCCTCTGATTGGGCACTCCTGGTCGTGGGTGTCACTTCATTTGATGTTTCATGGTCAAGCGCTACAAACAGTGCTGTAATCAGCAAGCCCTCAGATTCGTTTTTTGCCTGTCTGATTCATCAAAATAGTACAAAATTTTAGTCTGAAACCCTCAGAGTTGGTATAAAAAAAGGCTGAAATTTCAGAGTGCCTTAATAAAAAAATTCTGAAACATCAATGTATCTAATGTTTCATCAGAAATGTCTTCAATGCTTCATCTGATACTGAAACATACTAGACTAAGGGGATTTTTGGGAGACATTCTCTGACATGGCGAATTTCTGTGTCAAGGCGAATCTGTGAAATGAAGAACGCGAAATGAATGGACTATGAAATGTGTGAGTACAAGTACCAATCCTAATTGTGTTGTACCCCCTATGGGATACCCCACTATAGCCTACACAAAAGCATAAGCTATAAGTTCTGACACACCCCCATAGGCAAAGTGGGGGAGAACAAGGGGTCACAAGACCAGTCAAGCAAAGCAAAGCAAAGCTCAGGGTGGATCACAAAGTCACCACACAGTCCGAGCACAAGGTCAAGGCCACAAGGCCAGTTCACATGCAAGACGACACATATATATATATATGAGGCTAAACAAGCAAGAGCAGGTATATATATATATGCAAGAGTACAAGCAAGGTCAAGAGGTGAGTAAGTGAGGTAGGACAGGTACAAGTCCCAGCTGAGTGCAGAAGTGCTGATGATCACAAGGCGGAAGTGCCTTGGTGAAAACATCAGCAGTGTTGGCCTCAGAGGCCACGTACGCAAGTCGCAACTGACCACGCTGCTGCAGCTCACGAGCAAGGAAGTAACGGAGAGCAATGTGCTTCGTTCTGTGCTCCAAGCGCTGCTCTCGACACAAGGCCAGCATGGCCTTGTTGTCTACGTACAGCACTGGAGGAGAACGAGGCACCTCTCCAAGGTCAGTCAGCAGGTAGGTGAGCCAGCGAAGCTCTTGTGCAGCCATGGCCCCGGCATAGATCTCAGCCTCACAACTGGAGTCGAGAACAGAAGACGAGCGAGTAGCCCGCCACGAGACAGAGCCAGAACCAAGACTGAAGGTGTACCCCTGCGACGACCGCTGCGTAGCCTGGTCGTCAGCCCAAGAAGCGTCCGCGTGACCAGTGAGGACCACTGGACTCCGCCCTCCAAGCACTAGCCCCATGCCCGACGTACTGCACAAGTAGCGCAACACCCTCTTCGCTGCAGCCATATGCTCTGGTCGGTGTCTCCCAGGAGCAACATAGCGTGCAAGAATGCTAAGAGGGTATGCAAGGTCAGGTCGTGTGCAGGTCATCAGGTACATGAGGCAGCCAACAAGCTCCGGGTACGGGCCACTCGACTCTACGGACTCATCCGAAGGCAGAGCTGAGAGCGAGTGGCGAGTAGGCAGAGGAGTGGCCTCAGGCGAGGAGTACGTGAAGCCGAAGCGCTGAAGGACCTGCTGCACCATGTGTGACTGAGTCAAGGTAATGGTGCGGCGTGCTCAGTCCCGGGTGATCTGCAAGCCAAGGTAGCTACGCAGTTCACCCAGGTCTGTGCACGTGTGTCTCTTCTGCAGCTCGGACTTCACGTAGGCGAGTCCAGCAGTGTCAGCAGTGGCAAAGACCAAGTCGTCGACGTACACGAGGATGTAGAACGGCGGCAGAGAGGTGTCGGTGCGCAGAAACAACGACGGGTCAGCAGTAGAGGGAGCAAACCCAAGAGCCGCAAGCGTAGTCCTCAGTGTGTCGTGCCACTCACGCGGTGCCTGGCGGAGACCGTAGACTGTCCGTCGGAGGCTCCACTGGGTGCCAGGAGGGAAAGTCCCAGTGAAGCCAGGTAGACGGCGCAGCCAGATCTCCTCGTGCAGGCTACCCTGCAAGAAAGCAGTGCTGAAGTCAAGAGAGTGAAGCTCGTAGTCGCGCTGAGCGGCTATGTGTAGCAGCACCCAAAGAGTGGTCATCTTCGGGGTGGGAGAGAAGGTCTGAAAGTAGTCAACTCCCTGCCGCTGACTGAAGCCACGAGCGACGTACCGCGCCTTGAAGACAGGTGGAGAGCCCGGCGGCCGCTTTACCCTGAAGATCCACATGCCACTGACGATGTTCACCCCAGGAGGGGGAACCGCGTCAACGTAGGTGCCTGTGGACTTCCAGGAAGCCATCTCTGCGTCCATAGCTGCCTGCCGCTGAGAGGAGTAGGGACCCTCTACGGCCTCCGCGTAAGAACGCAGAGTCGGGATGTCTAGTGCATCCGGTTCTCCCTCAAGGGCAAGCAGTACAGACACGAGATGAGGTGAAGCAGCAGCCAGACACTGGAACTCCTCCTGCCTGTCCTCAAGGACGTCCGTGCCAAGAGCACACTCACCCCCGACGGACGGAGGACAGACAGACGCAGACTCAGCAACAAGACTAGCAGCGTAGTCTAGACGACAGCGAGCAGCAAAGTCGACGAGCTCAGCGACAAGAGCAGACGCAGTAGTGGACTCGAAAGAGGGGTCAGTGACAATAGTAGCAAGAAGACGCGTGACAGTAGGACTGGCAGCACGAAGAGAGTCCGACTCCGGGTCGGAAAGCGCAGGAAGAGAGGACTCAGGAGGAGAAGGCAAAGGGGCACGCAGAGGAGCAGTGGACGAACGCAGAGACATCCGGTGCGTGCCAGGGACAGGAGGAGGACGCTGCCGCGAACCGCGACCACTAGCGCGAGCAGCACGAACAGGCGACGCGGGACGAGACGCAGGCTCACGACGCTCAGCGAGACCTCCAGTAGGACCAGTGTAAGGAGAGGGAGCAGGCAGTGGGGAGGCCGGCTCTAACAGTGAAGGCAACTGGACAGACGGCGGACACTCTACAGAAGGAGGAAGACCAAGAACCTGCTGGAGGAGCGTAACGAAGTACGGCCGAGGCCGTGCGGGGACTCCAGGCACAGCAGGGACAGCACCAGAACCCTCAGCGGCAGCACCAGTGCCAACAGCACCTCCGGCGGCAGGACCACCACCAGGACAGACAGCTGCAGTCTCAGCACCAACACCCTCAGCAGCTCCAGCTCCAGTAGGACCCGAAAGCCCAGCAGCTCCAGGACCGGCGGCACCAGCACCCTCAGCGGCTGAAAAAGCTCCAGCTCCAGCAGTACGCCTCCAGCGGCGAGCAAACCACTCGCGCAGCTCCTGTGGAGAGAGGGGCTCCCGCCAAGACGGAACACCCGGAGAAACTCCAGGCCCAGCACCACTAGACGCCACAAGGGGAGGTCCAGTGGCCGTAGGCTCCGCACCTCCCG